CCGGCCCCAGCTCCAGCCCCAGCCCCAGCTCCGGCTCCTGCCCCTGCGCCTCCTGCAAAACCCGGAGCGCCCCCGAGACCGCCCTCCAAAGTCCAATTATTGCGAGAGTACGATGAGGATTATCCTGCAAGGTTAGATTTACCAGAAAAGGTCCAAATCGAACTCCCGGATTATTCGTCAGACTCCGGATCGGAAAAACGTGAAATTAATTATGATTATCTTCACTCAAAGGAGAATTTTAAAGAAGGGTTTAAATCGTTTTGGGATAATTCTCCCTACACCGCAGAGCATGGTTACAAGTTTTTAGCACCGCAACCAAATTCGCAAGAAAATTTCCAAAAAGATATTCCATTATCAAAATACGAGGAGTACGATTTGAAACCTAAGCATCATAACAGTATTAGAAGTGTTGCAAGCCCAAAATTTTTTGTTAATTCCCACAGTTTGAACGTTGATGAAACGCCTCTTTTGGACGTTCATGATGCTTTGAATGGTGATTTGGCCAAAGAAAATAGTGAACTTCAGAGACATATTTTGGAATATTATAAAAGAAAATTTGCAGCAGATGCGGCTGTTGCACGACAGAATGTCCCACAAGTTGGCCCTCAAAAAATTAGATATGAAGTTGTTGGTCCTGAAAAGAAATATCTGACTTTAGAAAGATTGAATAAAATTATTCAAAGAGGAAGAGATAATTATTACAAAAAGGAGAACCTGAGAAAATATGGAGAAGAAAATGAAGAAAGTCCTGATAGGTCTTCTCAAGATGAAAATTTACGAAGAGATAATGATTATTACGAGAAGGAAAACTTGAAAAACTACGAAAGAGAAAATGAAGAAAGTACTGATAGATCTTTCCAAGCAGAAAATTTGAAAAGTGCTTCACCAAAAGATGATGTTGAAGAAATAAGCAAAACCAAAAATGATGGCGCTAAAAAGGAGGAAGAAGAGGAAGAAATTGTTGAAAAAAATAAAGATGTGCCACCTACTGAACTCATAAAAAGTTTTAAATTTGATCCTGAAAAAAAGTTTCAGGAATTTAAATATCTTCCCCCCGAAGACACAAAAAAAGTAAATACTGAAGGAGTTGATAAGACCATCGATGATGAAATATCTTTGAATTTCCAGAGAAATCATAAAAAATACGAAGATATAAAAGACGACTTCTTGAAAAAACATGAAGATAAAGAGGAGATAAGTGAAAAATTGAGAAATCAACCAACTCCCGCGCCATTTGAAATTGTCGATGTTGAGGAAAAAGAAAATTTTGATTACGAAATGTTGCCACATTTGAGAGAGGTAAGTAAAAATGAAAATGTGGAAGAAGAGAAAAATTCGAAAAAAAAGGAACCTAACATCGAACAACACGACAAACAATTCGAAAACATCCAACAAGAATTTTTAGATCGAGAGAAGCAATACTCGGAATACTTGCCTGAAGAAAAACGTCGAGATTCCAGTGAAAAAGAAGTAATTGCATTCCACGATGTTGATGGAAATGTTTATCACGATTCACGTAATGAAAATGCGGAAGAAGGGGAAGAATATGAAGGCCAAAATGAAGATTATGACGAGGGCAAAAAAGAAGTAGAACAGAAAGTCGTCAACGATCATTACGCTAATTACAACCAAGACGATGGAAATCAATTCAGAATTTACTTCGATTACGAAAACGAAGAAGAAAAACTACCTTTTTACACCGGTGACATCGAGGGTTACGTAAAACACGAATTTGGGAAAGACCGAAATAACCTGAAACAAAAAACTGAACAAAATCTCGAAAATTATTACCGCAGTCTTGAAGAAGGTGACGCAAACGAAGGTGAAGAGAGTGAAAAAGTGCAACAAGGTCAAGATTGTGAAACTGAAGAAGAGGAAGAAGCAGAACCGGAAAATGAAGAATCGAAACAAGAGGAGAAAGAATCATTGAAGAAAGTTAAAGGGTTTGTTGTAACACCATTTTCCGAACAAACACAAGCGCAAGCAGCCCCGATTTTGTACGAAGGAATCGATCACGCCACTGCCTTTCTGTCAATTCCCAATTATTTCGGCGAGCATCAACATGCAGGCGCGGGATTTGACAATAATTTCCAGAAGAATTTCCCCGTAAAACAACTACATCAAGCCGCTACGCAAAATTCCGAAGTCGTTCAGCCGCTCTACTCTGGTATTATTAACGTTGGGGCGTTGCAAGAACTGCACAAATCTAACAAACCGTTGACAATTCCGTTCGATTTTGATTACAGCGCGTCTGAAATTAAGGTGAAGAAGACGAAAGTTGCCTTTGATAATAAACCAGCCGCGACGGAATATACAGGGTATGAAAGTTATTATGTGCCTGAGAAATATACAGAAGATTTTTCTTATACTGTTCCAGAACCGCCACCGGTTGATTATGCGAAATTAGAAGCTAAAGATTTTAAGGATGATGATACGCTTTCAAAAAATGCTAAAATTCTAAATTTGGAGTCTGGAAGAAAAGAAGCTTTTTTGACTATTAACGGAAATAAGTATCATCTTTAGGAATCGGTAGAAAAGTATAGATTAATTTATTATTATCCGTGAACCAAATAGTATTAATGTTGAAAAATATTTTTTATTGCTCTTTATTTTGTATATTGTTGCACTGTTTGATGTAAATGTAAATATTTATGAAGATTTTACTTATTTAATAACACTCAATATTGTGCTTTTTAAGTTTATATTATTGCTTGTTAACTATTTGTATAATGTTGGTATTAATAAAGTTAAAAATTATGTTATTGTTTTAATATACAAAAGCTGGTCGTTAAAAAAAAGTTTTATGCATATCTCTCAGAAGATTTTGATTTTGGTCGGTATGTTTTGTCGGAATTGCCAGCACAAGAAAATTTTAAGCCCTTTGAAAAGTGAATTTTTTTCCAAGTGTGGAAACGGAAACGCGTTTAAAATTTTTATACTGTGGAAACTCACTCTTCAAATATACCTAAAAACTAGTGCTCCTAAATAAAAAACGACAGTAAATGTGCATTTACACAGCAAAAATGACTTGATCGTTTCATTTACAGATAAAAAAGTCGCGATCAATTGGAATACAAGTCACTGCCGACACAAAAAGTGCTCAAACCGTTACCGAGACTGGAAGAGAATTGGATAGAAAGGAATATCAAAGAAAGTAAGCAGGTGTTAATATTTTAGAAATCTCATAGTGTGTTTCCAGCCTTTCCGATATCTGCGAAAAACTGAAAAAAGAACTCCAAAATCTACACCGTCATATTGAAAAACAAGATATCAAATTGTAAAATACTCTTTTATTCCAGTTTTAAAAATATAACACCTACATTAAATTATTTTCCACTTTTACAAAAATATAGTACGAATACGTAAAAACAATTGCACAATTGTACAAAACATTCCAGAAAATTTATTGAATTTTCACTCAAGTCTAACTTGAGTTCATATTGCATAATACACCTTCCCATTTTTTAGACTAGTATTAAATAAACGGTAGTTGGACCACATCTAATGTACAAAAAAATGAAGATATAAAATTATTTCAGTCCATTATGCTAGCTTTGCAGTTAAAAATGTGTGCATGTAGTCATAAACGACTAACATAATCGCCCCACCGGGCCCTAGACGTAATACTTTAGGAAGCAATCCCTTATAAAGAGCCATAAACCTAAAAAATCATCTCAGATGTTGACATATTATTATCAGAAGAATTACCCTTCCTCCTTATAAACTAGAACGACCGAACCTAAAGTAGATTTATATTTAATTTGTCCAGGGACCGGTTGGGGCCCCTGAATTCTCGATTTAGCCACGTCGAATGGAATATTGAGACAAGAGGCTAGAGTACCGGATGTAAACCCTATACCCACTTTCCTAATGAATTCTTTTACCGGATCCTGGAAAAAAAACAAAAATTGTCGTATCAGTGGCGCCACCTGCTAACCGAAATTAATGAGTTGAAGGATTACATAATAGTGATAGTTCGCCCCATTTGTTAAAATTAGCGAGAGATAAGATAAAAAACGATGTCCAATGATCTTTGATTTACCTCAAATTCAGGCAAATACCCTTTGACTGAATGATAAAAACCAAAATAAACCATATTAAAAAGGCCATTTCGTGCGATTGTCGCTGTAACTCCTTTGTTTAACCCCTTGAACCCCAATCCGTCAGTCCTTACAATTTCTTTAGTTACAACCCACGTACTAGGCAATTCTTTGCCTACAGCTCTATTAGATTGCAGGGTAACTTTGACGACTTCAAAGGGGTTTACCAAGATGGCTTCGGTGACGCCAGCCCCCAGACCAGCCAAGGAAAACGTCTGTAAAGGAAACAGTGACAGAGAAACGTTAAAGCACTCCCCAATTTTACCAGTGGTGTAGGAGTGGGTGACCCAAACATAAAAAATTGTTTATATTGCTCAAATGTAAAAAACTAAAACAAACTCAGGGTTATTAAACTGGAAAATGCGGATAATAAGCGGTACTTTGACGGCTCGTTTGGGGGTCTCCGCTAAAATAGGGGGCACTATTCCCTTCCAAAACGATGTCAAGCCTTCATATTTGTACATTTTCCGAAGACAGTCAAATATACCGGAATAGTGCTTTGGGTCATTTTTAGTAAGGGACTTGCCGCTCTGGATCTGCAGCCTGGTTTTAACTAAATCCAAGGGATGCATTATGCAAACTTCCACAAAGCCTGTGCAGAATAACCAAGCATGATGATTGGGGTAAATACAGTGCGGTAAAGGGGGTTACCTGCGGAGCCCCCCGAGCCGATCTGGATGGCGGCCTCCTTGAGCACTTTTTTTACGTCTGCCATCGCGGAAAGCTGGTCAAAGACTGCTGCGACGATAAGATAAAATGATTTTCTACAACAAATTCGGTCGAGTCGTATTTGTGCAAACTCATCCAAGCTGAAAATATAAACAATGGGAGCACAAAAGTTCAAAAATCAGCTGATCATCCTGCTGGAGGCTATCCAGAGGAATTTTTTGGCCTATTGGTGTTTGTTTACTTTCGGACTAACGGGATTTCGCACTCGCGAGATGAGAAATTGAGGTTAACTTTGACGTAACGGCAAATTGACAGACTGGTTCTTTTGACCAAAATCACGAACTTTTGATAAGCGAAAACACGGAATAGTTCAGGGATGAGTGATAATCGAGACGTGACGAGTGCAATTTCGTAAATTCCGGGTGTGGAGTGGTGTGATATACACAAAAGTCAGCTGAAACGTCAAGATGGAGTGCTCCAAGTCTGTCATCGATTCAACGCGATTGTAAACATGTAAATTACTAGAAATGTTTTAATTTTACTATGATAGAAGAACAGCAAATGGGCTCGCAAACATTGGAAATTTTAAGACAAGGTGTTTGGGCTTCTCTGACCGGGGGTTGGTTCTTTGACCCTCATCAAGATGTGTTTTGCAACACGTTCCATCTCTACATCTGGTTATTCTTACTGTGTTTACCCTTCACGATATACGTGGTAAGTGATTAAAGCCACCCCTTAATTCCCGGTACCCAAACTATCAATTTTCAGTATTTCCCACCCACGAAATACATGTGGTACTTCTATTGTCTTTCGGTGACAATAGTTTTAGCTGTGATCAAGTTAGTTAATTACGGTTTGCATCACATGTATGACACATCAGAATGCATTCATGAGGAAATTGACGAGAACTGGCAGGAAGTCAAAAGGTAAAAAACACAACATGCAAAAGTCAAATTCAGTGACTGTTTTTTTAGAGAGGAGGAAGGGATTGAGTTGCAAGTTTTGTCTAATAAGGCCACAGAAACGAACTCAAGACCTGGCGTTAGTGGATCTTTTATTTCTTATGCGGAACCGGGCGCTCTACCTAGCACTGACGCTGACAGTTTGGAGTCTACAGAATTTCAGCAAGCTGAAATCGTCAAAGACACCAAACCTAGCAGCACCATAGGTGAGAAAAATTCCCATCATAAAAAGTGAAATGATCAACTTTCTTCTAAAACCCCATTTTTTCAAATTACTCAAAGCGAAAGTCATTGTTTTTTAAACACAAATCTTTAAAAAATCGTGTTTAAACCGCAATGCAAAAACCTGGAACGAATCACAAACTGTTAATTTATTTACGCTGTAAATCCATAAAGTGGCATTGCAGGTATTGATCATATACCTGGAAACGTGGAATTTTTTGTCCCCAAACCACAAATAAGTGAGCTAGATAATAATAATTTGATTTGAGTTAGTTTTTTTTTGTCGATTTCACCGTAATTTTCATAGAGATGATATTACCAAAACTATGCAGCAATCTGTTGAATAGCAGATGGAAGATTCGATGACCTGGTCGTTACCGTTATAATACTTATTTTTTAATGGATGTGTTTAATAATGACGCTAAATGACTTTAATTGAATGTCCCTGCACGTCCAAATTTTTGAAACTATAAAATTAATGGACCTGTCAATCGGGAAATTTTAGGATTTTTAGGACATGAGTTTCTCTTTAAGTAGTCGGCAGCAACGCGGAATATTAATACAAAGTTCAGAACATTGTGTTTTTTGCCGTGACTTAAACGAATAAGAAATAAAGACGTGTAGGTGACTACACATTTCTGGGAATGTTAGATAAAGAAATAACTCAAATAACATCATTGTATATTTTTTTGTTTTCGTAATACAACTCACATGTTTCATCTAACTATAGGAAATTTGCAACAATTTTAAATATTTATTAAATAAATGAAAGCAATTTTTCTATTAAAGATTTTGTTTCGTAATGTTTTCGGTGTTCATATGATTTTTATATGAAGATTGTTAGTTATGGGCGATATTTGTAATAAATGAAATAAATGTTTATAAATGTAAGTCTTAAATATTCATACTTTTGTATCTGCTATTTTAATTTTGCAAGTTCCGTATTTGAAGGCCTCGCTTTCAGCCAATAACATTTTGTGATGATAGAGCTGACCTACATTTGACAGGTGCGTTTGCAATCGTTACTTCTAATTTTTTGTTTGAATATGGAGGGTTTTTAACGTTACAAGACCGCCAACAACAAAAAAATTCTCTTAGTCTTTTATGCTTTAATTCCATAAAAATTGTGTCAGTGAAGACATAAAAATGCAAATTGGCATCAATATGTAATGTGAGAATTTTCACGTTCGTCAACAAAGTTTCACATGCGTTCTATTGCAATTCTGGGATCATAGAATCGTAAAATGTGTTGCCAACTGGCGCATAAAAATTTTACGTTCAAAGACAAAATAGAAAAACCATAAACTTTTTAGGTTTAGCCAAAAACGAGTGACACATTCTGGGGCTCACTTTTTGAGAAAATAATATTGGTTAAAACCGCATCCCGCTATTGTCTTTTATTTTCGACTTATAGACAAAAGTTGACATTTGAAAAAAATTGAAAAAATTCATATCTTCGTTATTGTGGAAGATATGGATTTAAAATAAAGACGTTATACAGGCACTTTTTTGCGTAGAATTTAATAATGTAGATAACAATTTTTTTCAGTTATTTGTTTAGCCGTAATAAGACAGTTTTATTTTTTTTTAATAGGAATCATAGGTGGCTATGGCATTTTTAAAAAGGGTGTTTTTTTCTTATCTAAAAAAATATATATTTGTAACAGAATATTACTAGTATAATACATTAAAAAATATCTGTGATAAAAAAATATCTGATTTTTGTTCGCAGTTGGCCATGAAAAAATGTTGCATCTTCAACTAAAAGGATTAAACTATTTTATTTAACAAGTGTTACTAATGAAAGAGTTTTCTTAGCACTAAGTAACGAAAAAAATGCAAAATAATTCGTAAATCAACTTATTGGCGACCTTTCTTTGTTTTTAAACAAGCTAACATTACCATTGTAACTTTTAGTGATATATAGAGTGTTGTTTTAATTCTTCAATAAAATAAAATCGAACGTAATTTACAAGATGCATTACAAGTAGCTCGTAATATAGTACTACTGCCACGATTGGTGCCTGGAGGAGGCGCTATCGAGATGGCTGTGGCACAAAAACTGTTACAAAAGGCCACTCATGGTCCTTACAGGGCCTTAGCACACGCCCTTGAAATTATTCCGAAGACCTTAGCCCAGAACTGCGGTGCTAACACTATTAGGACTTTGACGGCTTTGAGGGCCAAACATGCGAATCATACTGATCCTAATACTCCCTGCACCTGGGGTATAGATGGGGAAAGTGGAGAGCTGGTAGAACAAACAACTAACGGATTGTGGGAACCACTCGCTGTAAAGTTGCAAACTTACTTAAAAAAACTTAAATATATTTTTATATGACACAAAAATGACGATATGGCTATTCAAGTACTCAAATTCCGTCTATGTGGAACGTTATACTATCTCCATTAGACCATGAAAAAAATGTTTTTTCTAATTGTGTTGACAGTTGACATATTTTTTTTCTATTTCTGGATTTTTAAAAAATATGTAATAACTTTGTTCTGAGGCACTCGCATATATTTGTTCTAACCTATCGTGTTTTTTTTTAATTTTTATAATTCTATCTATTTTTTCATCTATTTCACAGTTCACAAAACCCTTATTGATTATTATCAATTCAAATGAAATAGTTTTTCTATTGCCAACTACTGTCAAACAAAATATCTATTTCACTTTTTAAGTATAATTATAAAAAAATTATTCTGTTATAAATACATATTTTTTGTTAAAGCTCCCAAAACACGAATTCAAACCTTTTACTAATTAAAAAATTTTTGCCACCATATATAACCAATTTTATTTTTTAGTCCGGAAAAACTGTTGTTGGGGACTGAGTACCTAAAATAACCATTTTGCGTACTACTTTATTGAGTCCGGAAAAGACTCATTTTAGGGACTTATTTTGAAAACAGCTGTTTTCGGGAGCGTATACAATAACTGACAAATAACTGAATTTTTTTTAACTACATTTCTAAATTCCTCGTACAAAAGTGCGTGTATAATGTTTTTATTTCAAATCCGTATCTTCTTATATTAACAAAGTTATAATTTGTTTATATTTCACCAAAATGTCAACTTTTTTCTGTAAGTCGAAAACAAAAGACAATAGCGGGATGCGGTTTTAACCAATATTATATTTCTCAAAAAATGAGCCTCAGAATGTATCACTCGTTTTTGGCTAAACCTTTCAGTTTCGGAGATTCGCTATTCCCTCTCCAAAATGCAGCACCTTGTACACCGTGTTTATCGTTATTATGTTGTATTTTGTACCAAACAGAAGTGTTGTGTAAAATCTTTTTCGCAATTACAATTTCTGCTTCTTTTCGCAAAATTAAAAATTGGCCGCGTAAGTGATGTACATAATTCATGTTTACTTATTTTTTGCAATTTTCTTAGATTTGAAGGCCGAGGTCCACCGCAAAAACTCGTCGGAGAGCAGCGACGGCGCCGCCGCTCCCGTTTTAGAAATAGTAACCTACCAACCCGACGTGCCTGATCGCAAACCCAAAAAATCCGACCGTCGTCCGAAGCATCAACGTTCAAAAACCGACGGTTTCGTTTGCGTTCGAATCACCGATGATACCAAACTGAACCGTTCGAGTTTTCGTAAATTGTACCAACAAGCCGATTCAGCTGACGGCAATCTCCTGATTCAACGGCCGTCTTTACAAAGCGTCGATTGCGAACAAGGTCCTTCGAGCGGCCGAAGACACTCCAATTTTACCAACAGTAGTTTGAATTTTTTACCATCGACTGATATTAAGCCCACTGGGTCTTTGGAGTTGGGTTATTTGGATAAAAATCCTTCTGAAGGGTTTTATTTTAAGACGAATGGTCGAGGAGGCGTACGGAGGATACGATCGACAGCTTTGGAGACGTGTTGTCCGCCCCCAGCGCTGATCGTCCATCCGAATAGTTTGGAAGTGATTGGGTGCAAGGGGGCGAGGAATCCTCTGCCGCCTCCAAGCTCTAGTCTGGTGCGAAACCAACATTTGAATTTGTGTTCGTATTATGGTTCCGAGATTGTTTATCCAATTGCGGAACAGTCGGACGAACATCAGACTTCGCACGGGCCTGATACAGATATTGACTCTCCGGCCCATGTTTCCGACTCGGATTTAGAAGAGATTCAAGGAAGTAACTCTCCCTTGTTTTACATCACTGTGAAAACAATGACGAAAAACGTGCCTTACGAAAAAACCCATCCGAAAATAGAAGAAAAGTGCAGTGAAGAAAGGACAAGTGCGACATCGAAAGACGCCCTCTTAGATAATGATAATTCAAATTCGAGTGCGACGCCGGAAATGCACGACGCTAGGACTGACTGTTACGGGACGGATAACGAAAGCAGTGATAAAAAATTAAGTGAGTGTTCGAATTTATCTTGTAGTAATACGAGCGTCGAATGCGACGAACGAAGTCCGAAAATACCAATTTGTCCAATTTCGGTGAAAAAATTATGTCACGTGTTGGGTGACGATTTTAAAGTTTTTCGAGATCAAGTCCGTGATAATAATGTTAGAGTTGTCTATGCCAAAAATGATGTTTTAGTGAATGAGCCACACATCTTCCGGAAAAGGAACATCAAAAGGAACAAGAGGAGGAAGGAGGGAGACGCGGCCAAAACAGTCGAAAAGGATAATAGTACCAGTTTGGTCGAACTCGACTTGGATTGGTTGTTCGACAACGAGAACCAGCACAACCAACACAAAAAAGGTACGTGCAACAACAGACGGTCAAAATTCATAAGGTCTGTTTTTTAACGGAAATGCCCAACAACTTAAAGGTTGGTACTACGTACTATACCAAATTTATTCTCAGAAATTTCAACAAAAATTACATCAAACACAAAGACAAAATTCTGGGATGGAAACAAGCGAGTATAAAATTGGTACCGCTAGCAGTTTTTAGAAATTTGTCTAGCAAAATGTGAAAGCAGAAGTCAAAAAATACAGGGTGATTCACGAGGAGTAATGAGCCTGACCAAATTCTCGGTGCAACCAACATTACAGTTGTCGCAAAATAACTTGCGAAAAGTAATGGTGGTTGCATCGAGAATTTGGTTAGGCTCATTATTCCTCGTGAATCACCTGGTATATAAAAAATGATTTTCTGTCAGAGAAAAACATTTGCTTATGCCTTAAGATTTTAAAATTTATAAAAGCTTTGGGGGCGGTGAACTGAGCAAAGTAATTGTGCTCTCAAAGCTTTTATAAATTTTAAGATCTTAAGGCACAAGCAAATGTTTTTCTCTGACAGAAAAAAAATTGCCTTTTAGTACATTTTTTTTAATAAAAGTTTATTATAAAAAACATCTTTTTTGAAATCGTTTAAGTTCAAGTTTTCTGGATTTTTGATTTTTTTTCGATGTTTTTTCGTGTTTTTGACTTTTGGATTTTTTGTTTTTTTTTGATTACTGGATTTTGTTGATTTTTAATTTTTTTTGATTATTTGGACTTCCTTATTATTTTTTTGGAGGATTCTTTTGATTTTTGAACATCCCGTAAGTTTTTTCCTGCTCTATTGAATGTCTTTGGTTCCTTCTTTATACATGTATTTCAATTTTATTTTTTATTTTATGTATTTCAATTAGAAGCCGAGATATTGAGAACACTACCCAACATTTTTTTTTTAATGTGATTGATCTGTTGATACGTGTATCAGGGTACATTAACATCCCTAATTATGAATTTGATAAGAAAAATTCTCCATCACGTACAGATTTTAATTTCTCAAATTTTATCGTAAAAATTGTTCATTTCAAATAGAAATTAATTAAATAGACGACGAAAGAAATTAATTTATTCAGTAAACAAGAACAATGTTGAAGGATGTATAAGATTCTAACATAAATCTGTTGTAGATGATTTTTTTGCAAAAGCTGACTTTCTTTTGTAGGGCGTTTTAACTTCCCTTATCAGGAACCAGCAGTAATCCCCCATCATTGCTGGATCCCATCCATCTCTCTTAGTACTTCTTTTCCATCGTCAATATATCCTAGTGGAACTTTTCCCCTTGTTCGTCACTAACGGCACCCAAATGTGGGGAAAAAATATTTAAATGAGAGAATGGAGAAAATTAATTTTAAATGTTTCGTTTTTCGGCGTTTTTGTCGAACATACTTACATATGATATCTTAAAATGCCTAACGTTAAAATCTGACGTGCTATGGAATTTTCTTTATCAATTTTGAGTTTAGCACATAGAATTAAACAAAAAATATCTGTTTTCTTCTTAGTTCTTCTTCTTGGATCTTCTTGGTATGGAAACGATSAACAAAAACACGATTAGCCCGTCACACCAAACTTTTATTTTAATAGCACAACGCGTTTCAACCACAAAGTGGTCATCCTCAGGTGAGAGTTTTATTCTTCTTTTATTCTTTTTTTTCTTTTATTCAAACTTTTATTTTAATAGCACAACGCGTTTCAACCACAAAGTGGTCATCCTCAGGTGAGAATAAAAAAATTTTTATTCTCACCTGAGAATGCTATTAAAATAAAAGTTTGGTGTGACGGGCTAATCGTGTTTTTGTTCTTCTTAGTCACAAAATGCTTGTTGGCTAGTGTAATTATTGTTTATAAAATCAATATAGTGCAAAACAAACACCAAAATTATTAAAATTAAAATTTTGACATTTCAATACAAAAATTAAAAATATGTATAATTTTTTTCTGAAGATAAAAACAAACAAATTTGTACCAATAGAAATAATGAAAATAATGACTTGGCAATTTCCGCTTCAAGGAAAAACAGATTACATGTATTTTGGGTGTGAAAAAAACACCGTTGGAATATAGGTAAAAATATCTAAGAAAGGTAGTAGTCATTTATTTTTTTTTGTTTCTAAATAGCCTGACTGATTGATAAATCTAATAATGTTTTTCACTTTTCACTTTTGTGCTTTTCCAGAGCCGTTAAAAAGAGACACAGAGTGGTCGAGCACCACTACAGTGTCGCTCGAACACGACGTCAATAAAGTCCTTCAAGAACAAGTTCCTTCGACCCGCAGTCTCGGCGCTATTCCCAAAAAAACCCGTTCAAATTCTAGTCACAACGATCAATCATCTGGCCGAAAAACCCCAAAAAGTGAATCGGAAAAATGTAGCATGTGTCGTTGTAAATCCGACGAAAACGAACCTCGAAATCGTTCATTGAAAGAAAATAAAATTACACAAACTCTTCGTCAAAATGACGGTCCGAGTTCAGTTGAAGGACTTGAATGTATCGTCTTGCAGAAACCCCAGAGAGTCGATATCCCGAAACGGTATGTAAGGGCATCGAGGGAACGAAACGAAGAAGGGTCTTCAGGTGGCTCGAACAACGAGTTGAGCACGTTGTTACCACCAGCACCCCTTTTATCGGCGTTTTTGGCTTCGAGGAGAGACTATCCCCTATCGGTGTGTTATTTACCACCTAGTGAGACGGTTAAATTTAGTCATGTGTCACCGCAGAGGAGTAGATTGAAAAGGAGTAGAGTTAGTAGGAGAAGGTCGTGCCAAAGAAATAAGAGGGATAGTGCAATAGCTAGTTCTTTGACGGCGGGACATGGGACGCATTGTGCCAAAAATTTTAACGATACGACTGATGGATCCGTTCATTGTTTCATGGACGAACACGGGAATTGGGTCACTTATACGTTCGATGAGAAAGGGTTAGGTAGGTGCCGACTCTTGTATTTTGCCCAAAACGAAATAAAACTTATTTTTAGGGACAGCAAATAACCGTCTGCATGAAAAATCCTCCAGTGGAGACAAACCTCACCGTCGCAGGCCTAGCGACGCCGCCTCGACGTCGCGGGGGACCCGCAACACCACCCAGGATTTCTGCGATAGCAACAGTACTGATTCTATCTGCAACAGTTCAGTATCGATAATCCTGGACGCTCCTGCTTCAAAAACACCCTCTAATTGTATGATTCCCACCCAAAATTCGGACCTCAACTCCGCTCAAATGAAAGTGCGTGATACGATTCGTCGTCGATTGTTCGCCAATCAAGGCTTCGTAGATCCTTTAGACTCCTTGATAAGTATAGTGCAAGGCGAGCATGAGGGTGACATCGAGACGAATTTGGCCCGAAATCAGTTCAAATTCATCCAAAATTCCGATCAAGTGAACAATAATTATCCGAGGACCAAGTCGTTTTATAAATTTAAAGTGTTCCCGTGGACTTATGTGAAAGTGACTCTTGATAGGTTGAAACTGCTCGCGTTGTTAGATAGGAATTTGACGTTTTTTGAGACACTTTTGTCGATTGTTTTTGGGATTCTAGTCTCTGTTTCTGGTGCTGTTTTGTTGTATTATGACTTTTATGAAGATTTGTTGGCGTTCATCTTTTGTTTTGTTATGGCTAGTTGTCAGTATTCGTTATTGAAGAGTGTGCAGCCGGACGCTGCATCGCCCACGCATGGATTTAACCGGATCATAGCCTATTCACGCCCGATATATTTCTGTATTTGTGCAGGAATTATTCTTATTCTTGATTCCTACATTGATAAATCAACGGAAAATCAGATTTATAGCTTAAGTAGCGGCGGTTTGACACACATGCAGGTTCTCCTCCTTGTCCGCGATTTCCTCATCAAATTTATACTCTTTTTTCCTGTGTTATTCTCGTTGGGACTTTTCCCCCAAATCAACACCTTCATTATGTATCTTTTAGAACAGGTCGACATGCATATTTTCGGCGGAAATGCAATGTCGAGTCTCCTCGCTTCGTTCTATTGCATTTTCCGTTCAATTTTGGCTGTGATCGTGATGAATGGTTTCGCATATGGAGGCCTAAGCGAGCCCAAAAGCTCACAACACATTTTATTTTCTATTTTTTGTGCGTGTTTGGTGGCTTGTTCGTATCATTTGAGTCGAAGCGCCAGCGATCCGTCACATTTATGGAACATAGTGAAACGTCACGTCTGGCCCTCGGACATATACAGGGAACACAGTAAAGACAGAGTCGATAAAGTCGAGAGTAAAGAAGAGAAACCCCTTACTGAGAAGCAAGCCAAAAAGTCGGTAAAATTCCCGAACGAAACAACCGAACAAGTCAACGATCATGTTGATCCTCTTCCACACAAATTACAGAAAACTGTAAATGCGCGCTTGAAAAACGATATCATTTTGTGCGGTTTGATTGCAGTTTTGGTGTTTAGTGTTCACGCGAGTACTGTTTTTACGGCTCTTCAACCGGAATTGAGCCCAGTGCTGTGGACTATTTCGGCCGTTTTGGGGTTTATCCTCCATTATATCACTCCACAGTTGAGGAAACAGTTACCCTGGTTGTGTATTGCTAGTCCTGTATTGAGATCGAGAGAATTGTTACAGTATCAGATAAGAGGACCAGCGAAAATCATGTGGTTTGAAAGAGTTTACATCTATTTGTGTTTTGTCGAACGGAATATTTTATATCCACTTTTGTTCCTCTCGGTCCTGACTGAAGATTCACCCAAAGTCGTTAAGAAATTCGGGCCTTTGCTCGGGTCCTTCATTGTTGTTATTTGTGGTTTGAAGTGTTTACGTAGTTCCTATTCGAATCAGAGTTGTCAGTATCTCATTTTGACATTCACAGCGTTGTTTTTTCGCTACGATTATAGTTTCCTGCAACAAACATTTCTAGTGGAATATTTTTTCATGAGTATTGTTTTTCATAAGTTCTACGAATTGTTACTCAAGGTGAGTACGACAATATAGCTAGACTTTAGTGTTAATATCTTTGTTGCAGGTCCAATTCGTGGTGACATATATCGCTCCGTGGCAAATCACATGGGGTTCAGCTTTTCACGCCTTCGCCCAGCCTTTTTCGGTACCTCATTCTGCCATGTTGTTCCTGCAAGCCTTCATTTCGGCTATTTTATCAACACCTCTGAACCCATTCTTAGGCAGCGCAATTTTTCTAACTTCGTACGTTCGACCAATCAAATTTTGGGAACGTGATTATAACACTCGAAGAGTCGATCATTCAAATACACCACTGTCGTCACATCTTGATCGAAATTTGGGTGCCGATGATAATAATTTAAATTCGATTTTTTACGAACATCTTACGAGATCGTTGCAACATTCGTTATGTGGCGACTTGATTTTGGGACGGTGGGGATTGGTCAGTCAAGGGGATTGTTTCGTTTTGGCATCGGACTATTTGAATTGTTTGGTTCATATAATCGAGTTGGGGAATGGATTGGTGACGTTTCAAATGCGGGGATTGGAGTTTAAAGGGACGTATTGTCAACAGAGGGAAGTCGAGGCTATTACTGAAGGGATTGAAGAGAATCATGGTAAGTTAGCAAAGTTTGGTATTAAAACAAAAAGTATCAAACTTAAAATTGAATTAAATAAGAATGTTTTGTCAAAATCTCAATTATACTGTAGCTTTGGCACTTATTTTCTTCTCGATTATTTATTTAATTTTCGTAACTTTTAGCATGTTGTTGTATCGAAACAGACCATTTCACCGGGATTTTGGGCATCAGTTCTGCGTTCAGTCAACGCTGGCTGGCTTGGGAAGTCACCGCGGCTAAATACATACTCGAGGGGTACAGCATCTCCGACAACAGCGCCGTCTCAATGTTGCAAGTGTTCGAATTCCGAAAAGTCCTCATCTCGTATTACGTCAAAGTATTGTTCGTGACTCTTTTTTCTTGTTTCCTACAACATTTTTTCTTCCAGAGTATCATATTTTACACCGTACGTTCTCCCAAATTGGAGGAATGGCTCTCCTCACAGACAATCTTGTCTGCTTTGCAACCCATGGAACACAAGAATTTCGTCGATTTAGACCCGGTGTTCAATTACAACATCGACGAAGACTTTGACATATCCAGTAGCGGGATGACACGTCACATGTTTTCGCAAGTTCATGGCGACTGGATCAGTTTTTGTGTTGAGAAAGCGGAGAAGAATGTCGATTCAGGGAGTAACTCGACTTTGGTACTACTTTGTTTCTCTCTGAGTCTGCTAGGACGTCGAGCTTTGGGTGCAGTGTCTCATAATACAGTTTCAAGTGTTGAGTTTTTTCTCTTCGGGTTGCATGCACTGTTCAAAGGGGATTTTCGTATCACTTGTGCTAGAGATGAGTGGGTATTCACCGACATGGATCTACTGAAAACTGTAGTTGCACCGGGGATACGAATGTCGCTGAAACTCCACCAAGACCATTTCATGTCTCCTGACGAGTATGAGGAACTCCCAGCTCTGTATGACGCCATTTGTAAGCATGAAGAGGAGTTGGTGATATCACACGAAGGAGACCCGGCTTGGAGGAACGCCGTTCTTAGCGGAACACCCAGTCTTTTAGCTTTGAGGTTTTGATTTTGCATAGTTGGCGAATTTTTTCAAATTGTTTTTTTTTTTTTGTTTCAGACATGTGTTAGACGACGGTAGCGACGAGTACAAAATTATTATGTTAAATAAACGATATTTGAGTTTCCGCGTAATTAAAATAAATAAAGAGTGTGTTCGGGGACTTTGGGCCGGCCAGCAACAAGAATTGGTTTATTTGCGTAATAGAAACCCAGAACGAGGGAGTATCCAAAACGCAAAGCAGGCTTTGAGAAATATTATCAATTCATCATGTGATCAACCGATTGGTTACCCCATTTATGTCTCACCGTTAACGACAAGTTACGCCGAAACAAACGAACAGTACTGCAGTCTAGTCGGGGGGTCGGTCAGTTTGACCAAAATCAAGAATTACATTTTTAACGTTTTCAGACGGTAAGTCAATTATATCAAAGTGGTCTGTGATTTGTTTTTATGATATTATGTTGGCAGTATCCGCAAACGGTGTGGTGAAGGTTGCTCAAGTGGGGCTTCAACTCGCGACGAGATCGGCATGGGTCACGAGGGTGTCTACGCTATGACAACAGTCACGCCTCTTAATCACCAAACAGCCGGCAGCCAATCAACCGACGGTTCACACTTGAGCGGTAGCATGGGGCGTGGCTCTAGTCTGAGTCGGACTTCATTAGGTGGCAACAGAGGGAGTTTGGTTTCGGTGGGGAAACCCACGAGTGCTACATTGGCCAGTTTAGCGGGACTTTTTAAAGAGAGGGATGAAAGAGCAGTGTCGCAAACGCCCGATGGACAGCCGAGGAATGACGAGTTCGATGAAAGTGCCGAGAAGGAATATTCCGTACAGAGAGTTAGAGTACGTGAGATTTTATTTAATTTTTTTGCAAAACGTTAAGGTGGGGTTTTAGATCGTCGACCCGAATTTAGTATATGATGCAATCAATTTAGGGCGAAGGATTGACGTTACGTGGCCGACTGAGTACATGAGGGTGAGAGGGGGGCGTTCGTTTTGGAAGGATTGGGTACCGGAAACGGGGATGGAAGGACCGGTGAATGAATTTTCTTCCAGTTTTATTTATTTTAAAAATTTGTATTTTTTAGGTGGTGCATCGATGGACGCCTTGTCATAAAGATCCAGGCCGGAGGTCTCACGTCGACCGTACAATATTTCTAGTTCAAATCGACGATAAGTTTGTACCGATTGCCGAGAGTGGCATACAAGATCTAGGGCAAGAGGTATAGCATTTGTTTTTTAGTTTGTCCATCTTTAACATCAGAGAAGGGATTAAATCTGATTTTAGACTTCCATTAGGAGTATAATTATAGAAAGACTTAATTTTATATGAATTGTTACTATTACTAAGAATGTGAATTTACATATAAAACAAAAATGTACAGTAGGTAATCTTTATATTGTTTTTAACTGATATTATGTTTCCTTATTTCATTTTTAGTTCTAATGTTGGTAAGTTTTACACATACACAGACTAATTGTTTAACTGCCATTCTTTTATGATTGTGATGTAAAATCTTTTTTTATGACATACGTCCAAAGATTTTGTACTTGAGAGGGAAAATGTCAAAATGATTTGTATTATAAATTAGGCTTCTTAATATTTATGAATTGTTGTTACGCAGTTGCCTTATTAAAATAGACTGATTTTTATGTGTATTTAGTTAAGAAAAGTGTACAATTTTCCATTAATTTATATTTAATTAAAAGAAAACAGAGGAAGAAATAAGTTGTCCATATTTATAAACGGGTTTTTATTTAACTTACTAGGTTTTCGTATTAATCCCAAATAATCACATTGTTGCTGCAGATATCTATAGATTTATAATGTTATGTAATGTATTAACTCTACTTTTTTATAAGAACATCATTTTTGGCCTATGATTGTAAAATACGATTATGAAAAAGAAAATAAATACACTCATTGTCTATGTATGTTTTTCAAAAGGACGAAATAAGCCCACAGTTTTATTTAAAATCTTTTATTTATGTATAAATAATAAATTAATAATACCTAGGGATCATTAATATCAAATGTATATGAGAAAAATCATCATTTATTAGATTGATTATTACAGGAAAATAAAACACCAAAATTTTTCTTATACATTTAAAAATATTGGTGCCCCTTGTATCATAAAAAATCTCATAATGGTAACTATTGTCAAACATGCATACATTTTTATATAAAAGACTAGGAAACCACAACAAAATCAACTTAAAGCATACCGTCGTTTTAGGTGTTTTAAAATTCAGTCTATTACGTTTAGCCAATTTTTCCGAAAACGGTTCATAGTGGCTGCCAAAATATTTCCGACACACTTACTCTTGGATCAGTTTCTATAAAAAAGCTTAGCCTCTATTTCTACCAAAAAACTTTGATCAGCATTCGAAACAAATTGTTTTTGTAATTTAATTGGAGACACTGAATTTCAAGACACGCTGCAATTGCGCAATGTTTAAAAAATGAAAATTACATATATTAGGTTTGTATAAAAGTTGTTAATGTAAATCGTAGGCCTCAACTTATCCCCGGGATTAAAAAAAACATGAGTGAATCAATTAAAAAAGCATTTATACAACTGTCCAACGTAATAAATAATCGCTATATACATCCACATACACGATATATACAATCTCCGATCTGCCACAGAAAAAGCGAAAAATCACAATTAAAAAAACGATACCGTCTTCTGACATCGTCAGCCATCGTAACTTTTGTGATATCGTCAATATCACGCAAGTCCTGAATCCACATGCGTCCTCCTCTTCGAATCCGACCTTTGCACCCCATGATCAGGCGTCGATTTTAAAATATCGGGTTGACTTTGATTGGCTATAGCTTGACTAATGATAGATTGATTTACCACAGACTGATTAACGGAAACCATAGTTCCCCTACTTAAAGTACCTAATAAAGGCGTACCAGGATTATTTATTAAGAGATTCATGTAGTCGGCTATGAGTAAGGTCAGTTCGAGTATTTTCGGTTTACTTAACGAGAAGATTAATTTTTGGGAGGGTTGTTGGTCGTTTTGTGTCACAACCAACATAAAGTCTTCTTGACAACCGCCGAATGTGAGCACGTTGGTGTATGGGTACCGGACTCGTTGCTGCATCGTTGCAAGGTCGAGGATCGTGATGGAATCTTCGTTGACGGCCAACCAAATCATCGGCGAGTCGTGCTGACGCAAACGGGCCTTAAAAACATGAAAGCATTGTTTATTCTCACTTATTTTGTTTATGTATATCAACCTGGAAGAGCGTGGCGCCGAAGAAGGGCCATTTCCGGGTACACGTGAGATAAATACGGACACAGTCCAACTGAGTTCGGCCCTTCAGACCCCTCCATTTCTCCAAAAGCTTTGCTTGTAGCTCTGTCAAACCTTCTTGTGTCAATTGATCTCTGTATCGATACGGATAGAATTTATCAATGGCGTTGAGAGCTTGATTCGAGTGAGCTGTAAGAATCCCGTGCACGTTATTCAAGGCGCTTAGAGTATTAGAATTTTGAATGGCAGTTGGCGGACTTAACGTCCCATTCGTCGTCGATTTAGGGCTTTGGTGTCGATTGGAAGTCCCTTGATTACTTAAAGTATTATTTACACTGGTGTTTTTATGTGATCCGAAGGTACAATCCCCCAAATCCAGTTGCGCCATCAGTGCTGCCAACTCCAATGCCAATTCTCGACTTAACGGAAATCGACCCGAAACAATTTGCTTATTGACTTGATAACACAGAAGTAATCTTTCTTTGTCCGTTTCTAACCGAGCACTGTTTTTCCACCACAGACGGTTTTTATAAGTCAGTCGAATCACCCGACTGTTTTCAAATTTACCTAAACCTTTCTCACGTAACGCAATCTCCCATTTTGATATTAAATCGCAAAGTTTTGCGTTCGGGTCGAGAGTGTGCTCTAGGTCTTTTTCGATGGGGTCGTCGCTGAAAATCGCGAAACCGTTGCTGACCCGACAGCAAATCTCATGCGCCAAACTATCTTGAAATTCTTTTATCGTGGTTGAACCGTCGAAACTCGTTATGTGATATGTGCCGTTGAGGAGATGGACGGGCATCGAATGGGGCAATGAGTGGTGTTGAGGATTCTTGAGCAAGATACTAAGGACTTCCATCCTTGACGGCTTCAACTCACGGCCTCCTGCAAACATATCAAGCAAAAACATTTTTTTGAAATGAAATAATTTTGTAAAATCAATCATTTTCTTTCAAGTGCCGATGTTTTGATCCTTGCGACCGAAATCATCTATTTCCAATTTACTTCACAAGGAAAATAATTTCCACTAAATAATTGAAAACCCGCCCATGCGATGCGTAACCATGACAATGACATAATTCCGTGCACTCAAATGTCACCCGTGCGTTGCGAAATTTTATCGTAATCTCGAATCGGGAAATTTAGAAATTTTCAAGTCAATTTGTAATTGGAAAAGCGGCGGCAATAACAGCGCGCACCACGTGATCCATATTAGGGTTGCGAACCTAAGTTGGCAAGCGGCCAAACGCCACCCCCAATCCGATACTCTCATCGCCATTCCCTTCGCTGCGCTATTGCGGTCGACAACCACCGACTCGACACAAACGCAACTTACATTTTTATCAAATTTAACAATAATCCAATCGACTAGTTGAAAAAAGTGAACAGAATTTGACATCAGTGTGTTATTAATTTGTTTGATTTAGGTGACAGGGTGAGTTTTTCTATTATTTTTGGTGTACTTAATAATAATAAAGCATCGAATTGTTGTATTTGCCAATTGGTTTGTTTAAATTTGGTGGAACCGTTTAGGGGTTGCCGGGCCTGAGTAATGATTGGCAGCAGTGTGATTGCGCAGACATATGCAATATTTAAATGTTATACGGGGGGCGACCAAAATTCAAAATCTAAATCAAGATAATAATAAGTATGTGTTTTAGATTTCAGAAAATGCCCACAAGGAAAGCAAAACACGCTGGTAGTTGGTATTCAGATTCAGGCAAGTATTATTTAATTTTTTCGCCTGTAATTACGTAAGTTTTTCAGAGATTGAATTATCGAACCAGCTTGGGTTATGGCTGCAAAAAGCTAAATACGTTCACGGCCCCGCACGGGCTCTGATTACACCGTAAGTTACACACGAAATTTTTTCTACTGCTCGTGAAAATAATTATTTTAGGCACGCTGGATACAGATATTGTGGATCATGTTCGGCATGGGCTTACAGACAAGTAATGCCCGAAATGGTAAGAAGAATATTTATTTTGGGGCCTTCCCACCATTTTGGTTTATCGGGGTGTGCCTTGACGACTGCAACTTATTACAAGACTCCTTTATATGACTTGCTGGTAGATTCTAAAGGTCCGTAAAACTAACATGTTTTCGAGTTACTTAAACATTTTTTTTTTCTATAGTTAATAGTGAATTGCAGAGTACAGGTCAGTTTGAATTATTAGATTTGAACGTTGACGAGAAAGAGCACAGTATCGAGATGCAACTACCTTACGTGGCCAAAGTCATGGAATGGTAATTTTTTTTCCAAAAAACTTATAATTTAACAATTATTTCAGTTATAAGGATCAGTTCACGATAGTTCCAATTCTTGTTGGTACATTAAGCGCGGAAAAACACCTAAACTATGGAAAAATTTTCGTAAATTATTTAAAAGATCCGGAAAATCTCTTCATCATATCGTCCGATTTTTGTCACTGGGGGTCCCAATTTCGTTACACTTATTGTGACAGATCTTGCACTAACATATACGAATCTATACACAACTTGGACCTTATGGTAATTTTCTCGTGTTGTGAGACAAATCTGATTTATTTTTTAGGGAATGAATGCAATTGAAAATTTAAATCCAACCGAATTCAGTGATTATTTAAAACAGTATGGGAACACAATTTGCGGACGTCACGTTATTGGAATTTTACTTAATGTAAAAAAAAATGATTTAAAACCATCTGTTTTAATTAAACTTGTTTTAGATGGTTCAGATTTTAATCCAGGAGACGGATCAAAGACCGAAATTAAAATTCCTGAAATATACTCAATCGAATCAATGCGTATCCATGAGCGACTCGTCAGTAAGTTACGCCGCTGCTGCTCTTACAATAGACTAAATTATACCAAAATTTCGAAAATAAAAAATTGCTCACCTGTTTGTATTGTTCTTTCCAAGGCCCTCTCACAATATGCCGCATATTTCCCACACTCTGTCCTATTGTCAGCATTTCTCTGCAGATGCAACTTCAAAAACCACAATAATCTTGACGATTTCGGAACGAACAAACTAACAGCCAATGCGAGCAACTGCCATCCTTGCAACAACGTATAACTCGGAGGTCCTTTATGATCTTTATGTTCCTTGTAACATTCCTTGTGCTCTTTGTATTTCTCTTCTTGGACCGCCTGTATATTGGAAGATGCAATTTGTTGGTCAGAAGTACTGTTTATACTGGGAGTCGTTTCGCAGGTGAATAAACTTTGAGTCGCGCAAAGAAGAAGTTGCTGAAAAGAATTTTGGTGTTTCTGTATATGGGGCTAGAAGACGAATATTTGGACATGACTAAGGGGACAAGCAGAAAGGGGGCACAATGCTTGAGATGTAGATGATTAGTGTTGAGTGTGTTGAAAACAAAATGACTTTGATGACCCCCAAACCAAATGGCTTCTGCTTTGATGAAGAAACGATGCATACGCAGGCATCTATTCTATTCTAGGGTCTAAAAACATCCAAAACAAGAAACTAAACTGAAACACCAACATTCTTAGTGGAGGAGAGGCAACAGTTTAAAGAAAGTTGCTGTTTCATGCAAGGGCAAATGAAATCAAGTTTATGCACATTGATTTTTTATAGTTCTTCTCAATCGTGCGAAAAGAAAACACTGAAGTGTTTTATTTTAAATAAGGATGTCCCCTGTGATACTAGAAAATGAAAGGTAAAATTATTCCATTTTCGTCGGGGACATCCATTGGCAAGTGCTAAAGCTTAGCTTGTCTTAAAAACTTAACATAACTATAAGTCGGACTTTCAACGTTTGAAACTCCGACTTTCTAAACTAAATTCGACATAAAAACTAAATATAAAAAGCACACTTACACTTTTTTTAAGCAACTTTTGTGTAGATACCTGGACTCCGAGTTTGGGTAAGGGTGAACTTTTACTCGTTTGTTTAATTAACGCACAAATCAATTCTGCTTGTAATTCCGGCATGTCTAAACATTGTTGTAATGCGTTTTGTGCCAACACCACGTGATAATCGATTCCGGCTTGATCAACAGCCGCCGACATGAATAATTGGAGACATTTGAATAGTTTGATTGCTTCGGCCTGTTAAAAAGTAATCTCAGGTGAAATTTTATTTTTATTTTGAATAGAGTAGATACCTGTAGTGTTTCAGTCGGTAATGTCGTAAGTGGGAAATATGAGGGTATCGCTCCGTCTTTCGTACAAGGCACATGTAACAAAACCGGATGTCTCCACAAGACGCAGTTTGAATCGCCATCGACTTCCATCAATTTATGTATCAATTGTTCGTATTGTGTGCCTGTGCTCGGGCCGCCGCCGCTGGCTACAGTCAAATGATATAACCACGAATCTTTTTCCTATAACAAAATAGAAAGATTCCCCATTACGATAAAAGCCAGTCACGTACTTGTTTCCCTAAACACAATAAATACGTAGGTCCTTGATTTGTTGGAAATATTCCGATGGTTAAGTCCGGATGTTCCGTATCTCGTTCTTCCGAATCGGAATCTGATAAATGCTCGACTTCTTCAACTCGCGCGTCACGCATATTGATTTGACCTGCCGGCGTCTACACCAACACATTAAAACTTTAAATCTCTAATAATTTTAACTTACCGTGTCTGTGGGCGATTTAAAATACAAAAACATTTTCCCAATAAGCACGCACCAGCATTTTTTCGCGTGACCGTTTTTCACTTTCGTTAGCCACCCTTGAACTGACGGTTTGTTTTCTTCTTTGCTTAGTAATAATTTGGTTGCGTTTCTTCGTTGTACATTTTGAAGTATTCTGACCCAGTCTTCCATCGCAGTTATTGAATCTGCTGTTAAATAGTAGGTTTTTTTGCCAGTGTCTATCTCAAAAGTATTCGAGCCTTCGGCTCGAGTTATTTTACAGACTTCGTCTAAGATTATTTGACCCTGAGGTTTGCGGTTTATATCACTTTGACTCTTGTAGTAAGTCAAAACGCCGTTTTTCAACACGAACCATTTTTTACGCCACGTTTTTAATTTTCCCCCTAATAGAACAAAATAAATTAGCCCCTATTTTTTGTTATTCTTTGAGACATACCTAATTTTGCTAAAGACCCACTTTTTTCTAAACTTTCGATCCTTTTGGGGCTATCTAAATAAGATGCCCTAAGCAACATTGACGATTCTAGACTAGTCGTATCACAACTGAGAGCATCTGGTGGTACGGCATAATCATCCGACATACCACTCTCAAACGAAGTGTCTGAAACACCTTCGTGTCAATGTTAATGAAGGGATTTCTACACAAAAAGCGAATGAAAATAAACAAAACATCAATTTACCTCGAGTTTTGCTTTTACTAGGAGAACCACTACTACTGGAAGCCGTTCGTTTTCCCGGACTTGACCCCGAAGTATCACCGGAACTCCTACTATGAGTGTTGGTACCATCGACAGCGGTAGTGTTGTTACCTTCACCGTCACTTGAGTCATCCGAAGAGTCACCAGTAAAGGGCATCGATCGGATCTGACTAGCCCGACCTTTGACAGTAGCATAAACCGGAACTGGAATATCCTGGTACCCCGCCTGCTCCGGGCCAATGTCGCTGGGGGTGGTCCCGGTCAAAGTTAAACCGTCAGCTGCCACCTATATTGAATACCATAACATTTTTATTTGCCAAAAATAATACCCAAAGAAGTAAAAAATATCAACTTGACTCTAGGTATTACCTGATAAATCCGATCCTCCCAGCTGGGAAACCTGTGAATCGGCGGCGTGGGAGCCCTAGGCCAGGGGACTTTTTCTCTGCTCGGCGTGTAAATCTCGGCATAATCATGTGCCAAATCCGGATCCGAAGCACTGCTACTGGGAACCCTCCCTATACTCAGATTATCAACGGCCGCTCTCAGCTCGTCCGTCAACGGATCCATACTCGAATTACTCGTCCCGAAATTGACACTTGTTACAAGAGTGCTCGGCACTGCCGGTTCGAAATTACTGCTCAAGCAAACCGATTGATGTCTCCTGTGTCTATTAGTCCTCGCTGAATTCGAAGTGGATGTGTGTTGTCTCGGCTCCGGCGAGCAACTCTCTGATCTCCGGCGGTCCGCCAGGGCTAAGTGGTTTCGAAGGAGTTCCAGTTGTTGATTGCACTTGATATTCTGTTCACGAAGGGTCTGGTTCTGTTGTTCAAGTTCGCGGAGTTTATTCGTCACCCATTCTTTGATGCGAGCTGCTTTGGCTTCGACTTGACGGGCGTCGTGGAGCCGCAACTGGCGTTGCTCTTCCACTTCGCCCTCTAAACGGTGGATCTGGAGGTTGTTCGGGTCACTTTGCTGCGACCATGCGAGCTTCTGTTCCATTATTCGCACCTAGAAACAAAGAGGATACCTACGCATTAGAGCTTGCTGGAATTCGATCGATTGCTGGAATCTCATAAATTTTGGAGTCATTTGAATAAAAGTCACACGCAAAGGTTTCAGACTCTTAGCCGGAATCATCCGGTTATGAAGCAAATACACACCCAGATACAAAAAAGATCCCACTGTTATGAATATTTTTGTACAATATGTATCTGCTTTTTATCTTACAAAAAAGCGAATCTTTAACTATATTTCATTCCTCTACTGAAAATGGCCAAATCTATTATAGATAAGATAAAAATTAAATCTTTAAACTTTCTTCATTCATTTCCAAGCATCAAAAATTCTTAATTACATCAGGAACGCAACTTGGAGACAAAGCGTTACTGAAACGAATTATTTTCGTCCTAAAAACAAACCATAACCTCGCCTGAGGTTAAATCGGCAACGATGAATGGAACAAAAAAGGCAAAAACCAACTTAACGTTAGACAAACTGTTAATTAAAATCGCACGTTTGGCCTAATACCAATTATGGTATAAATCTACAAAGTTTACCGTGCATTTCCATGTTGCCTTTGGCTTCCACCCTAACTCCTGAAGCGAAAAACGAAGGTATTAGCGCTCCCCATCCACACACTAAAACCTTTCGGTTCCAACTAAAGCCCAAACGGCACAAACTTAGCACGTATACAGTGTCTGCAATGGCTAAAAATGAGTGCATGCCGATGTGAACTCGGCGCCAAGGCGTCCCGACGCTTGTCACAAAACTTCCCCATAGTGGGGGAGACCATCGGCTATTGTAACCACCCCCTTATTCTGATGCGGTTGCAAACAAACAAGCAAGGGGTTGTGTAGTTAAATCTGACAAAATATCGTATTACGCAACTGTTAAACGCAGATTCCAAATGTGATAAATGGGGATACGGTCACAGATGCTGTCATTTCCACAAATAGGCTGGATTTAATTAATTCGGGGGATGAAAAGAGAAAAAATGGACGGAATTGTGGAGAACATCTATCAATTGGAGTTTTGGACATGCGACAAAAACATGTGTTCGAAGTTTTCAAACACTTAAGGGTAAGTAAATTGAATTGTAACGTGACAAAGGGGTGATATTGTGACATCAGCTAATTGACATTTTGGCCGTATTCAAGACCTACCCCAAGTTAACTCATTATGAAAAAAATACAACCCCACATGAGTATAAATTCTTCATTACATTTAATTATCTCCAATCCGTTTTCATCCGGTTATTTAATCGAAACGAACAGGAAAAAACTTTTTTTGTATCGGGAAATTTGTCGGAAGCTTTTCCACTTATAATTTATTAAGTTTCGTAAAACGAAGTATCTGGAAACTTGGTACATCAATAATAAAGACACGCCTTGTAATAAAGGAGTTCATCTCCGAATCAATATTTGTGTTAGTAGCTTGTAAACAACTTCCACGTCGAAAATCGAAAGACTGCAAATACGTAATGCATGAGAAAAATCGCCAACGGACAAGAATTGCCAACATACGAGTATAACAAAGAAAATATGATACAACGGCTGATGAAAAAATATGCAAAT